TCTAAGATTTTGTGATAGATCTGATAATTTGCGCATATTCCAGAAGATCCGCAATAGGCTCACAAAAATTTGCCCATCGGTGACAAATATTAATATATACAACAACAACGACTTTGGCGTAATACGTGAAATTATGGCTAGTTTCAAATCGTTGACATCTGTCACATTTGAATTCTTCTATAAATTTCCAAAGGATTTGGCATTGCAGTCAATAAGAGGCAATTGTAATGCTGATTGGTCGATATCCATTCACGAAACATCGTACAGTTCTTATGGTTTTCGAGTGTTACGGATACGAATTGAAAAGGCGAAACTGAGTTAATGATTGTATTTCAAGTCACATGCGTATTAGCAGAAAATTGAGTTGAGATTAACCATTAATGTAATGAAATATTTTTCTCTAATTTAGTTGTTTATTTTTTACAAATGAAACGCATTCTTGAATTATTTACTAGTGATCACAATTGTACTCAAGTTTCAATTGTGTAAGAAAATGGCAAAACCACATAGATTAATTTTTCTCTCAAGAATTTCAGTCAATCGGTACAATGTTCAAGACTAACGCTATGATATATGTTGATTATTATCGTTTATTCCAATTCGAATCCATTTAATTGTAATAGACTCTTGTCACCTCAAACTAGCGTAATATACTTTTCGCGGTCTTTCAAAAATAGATACACTTCTATACATAATACCACCCATAGCATTCCGAAATGAACATTTGCATTTCGGTTATACGCATAGGATATGCTAATTTATATTTTATCTTCTATTTTACTTTCAAATAAATCATTTATCACACAAAAAGTTGTTGTTATTGTTCGAAGAAAGAATTGATGGAAATCCTACCTATTTGCTTTGTGATTTGTGTATGGTATTTGTTGATCATTAGGACATTCCAAAGTCCAAACGACATGTATATGTTCTAATGACCCTAGCTAGAATAACACTGTAAAACAGCAAGGGGAAGAAGTCAAATTTTGAGTGATTGCAGCGATCGGTTAGTTTTTATTACACGCCTGACCTGACATTTTATAAAATAATCACTCTCTCGAAAATCAATTAATTTAATGCAAATTAAATTCTCGCTAGATTTTAGTGTTATTCTTATTCGGAAAATCTTGGTATAGGTACAAAGTGCTCTCCGTCTGAAAACAATTCAATTCAAGTGGTCAAATGTATTGTGGTGAGAATCATTCATTTTTGTTGATGGTTGAACACATCTTCTTCTCAACAACTAATAATAATTCTCCCCTTACATTAACAGACAAAAATTCAAAATGACAACATCTCATGGCAAGCACCACAAACTACAGTGTTATGTGTTCCTTTTGTTTGCTGGTTTAATGATTGTTGATATGTTCATTTTCATTATTCTCACACAAAAGTATAAAGGCGTTCGAGATCAGGAGCTAAAGTTCATTTACTGTAAATAGCTTTCATGTTGGATTTCCAAGGGTTTTATTTTATTTCATATTCCAAATAGGTAGGTTTTGACGTAATACTTACTCAAGCAATACAGCCAGTTGCGACGAAAGAAAATAAACAAATAAATAACAAATTGATTCCAGAAGAGAGAAATGACTGCTTAAAATTCAATACATATTCAAAAATGACACCTTTGTTCGTGAATTACGAGTATCCCAAGGTTTGTTACTTGTCAAAAAGCGTTACATATATGTGACACGGGGTTGATTCGAGTTAAAGCTGGGCATAGAAAAAACGAATGAAAAATATGAATGTTATTGTTAATATTGTCTTTTACTCAATCCCGACCGGATTCAAAGCTCCTACTGTATCGTCTGTATTAACATTGTTGTCAAATGGGATGACTAGTCTCCATGTAATGTTGCATGTAAAGCGAACGACACAGAGATATTTGCTTCAAAGTCGTTCAAATTTGTGGTTCTGGCAAGAAATGGACTGAACATTCATAGCACAAAAACTTCTTCAGAATTCGTACATAGGCACTAACAACAATTCCAATTTCGTCACACCACACTACATCATCGTACCGCCGCAAGAAGGCTACACATTTTGCTTGTTTTGCTTTGAGATCAGTTCAGCTCGTTAAGCGATTTTTTGCTCCAATGTACTTGAAATTTGTGTCTGAACGCAATCGTTGCCGTTGGTCTGGTGATGCAGTGAGTCCTTCACAACGCGTGCATGTGCACACATGATTTCTATCCGTCAGCATACGTTCCTTTCGTGCACATGAATGACTAAGGTATTTATGCATCAACTTCGTAGAACTGTAGAGCAATTCTTTCATGCCATATTTGTCTTTTCTTGACGATGTTTGCGGCAAGGAATGAGAGCTCGAAATCTGAATATGTTGGCCGATGAGATGCATGAGGAAACGCTGGTGTTTCAACGATTGAAATGCGTTGCAAATGAGCGGTATATTCATAGCCATTTTGTAAGTGTTGAAAACCCATTGCGTCAACTTGTCTAAAGGATACGTTAAATCGGTGGGCAGCTTGAGATATTCTCGATATTTTGACTTTTCATCCAAACATGTGGCTGGGATTTCATTTGGATCGCTGTCTCGCTCTTCTTCGACGAAATTCATCAGCTCATCAATACTTGAAAACATATTAATGAGCATTGAAATTGTTCGAATCTCCTGCTTGTAAAACCCATTCAATACGCTGTCAGTATGGAACTGGAAACCGCATTCACCCTTGTGCAGCGGACTACTTTGGCATTGGTCACTGCAAAGCATTGCGACAGTGCACTTCTTGCACGATACCAGATTTTTACGCTCTTTCAAGCAAACATCGCATTTACGTTCATTGTTCACGTACACACTTGCAATGAATGGCTTCTCTATCACAACCGTTTGACCAACGTCGATATTCTCTTTAGCAATGACCATTAATTCACCATTGTCATCTCGTTCAATTTTCAATACGTTTGCCATGCATGGAAAATGTTCATCTGGTTCAAAGCTCAGCTTTGGCTCAACAAATTTTGCGTACTTTGTACCTTCTTCAATGGACTTCAAACACTCCGCTTTGCGTCGATCCAGTTTTGACATCAAATCTTCGGGGTAGCCAGCTGCTTTTGCCAATTCGATATCGTTGAGACACTCGTTGTACAATTTCATCTTGAGGAAACAGGCCGAACGGTTTGCATGAGCCAAGCTGATGTTCGCTGATTCTTCCTTGGCGTAGCGCAAACTGTCATTGTAACATGCCATTGCTTCATTCCAAAACTGATTGCGAAAGAACTCATTTCCCTCATTGCGCTTTCGAAGTGAAATTTCATCATTTTTCTTGCTCGTGGTGTTGATTTGGTTCGAATGAAGCTTGTCATATGTTTCTTTCAAACTCATCCAGCCTCCATTCAATGCGAACAAGTCGACATACACGGCTTCGTTTCGTGTCGGATCTTTCGTCCACAACATGCTGCTTTCTTTGAATACTGTGGTTGTCTAGAGAATACTGATAAGATTTTATCTGTTTTTTCGTTTTTCAAAAGTATAATTCATACCAAATCCCAAAATATCTGTATCAAAAGTTGACAATGAATCAATCCAAAGACTTGTGCTGCGAATAAAAATATGTCTTTTCAAAATGGTGGCAAGAGGACGCTTGGCAAAAAAAGAATTCGTATTACGCTTTTGACTGTATTAAGTAGCAAATGATACTGCATTCATGTGTGTGTGCGTGTATCAAATCAAAACCCGTGCTGTTGTTGCATTATAGTGGTCAGACAATGATGACAAATACAACCAAGATTTCATCCAATGTTCGTGTATTGATTTGCCAATGTGTTTGTACAATTCTTGTTTTTTGCATCAGAATTTTTCAATATTTGAACATGTATGGATTAATTTCGTTCAATTTTACAGCATTTTTAATGAGATTGCTTACTCACTTTACAACGATCCCAAGTGCCTAGGTCCTCTTCTGTACTGTATTTTTTTTTAAACAAAAACGAAAATATTTTTTGAATAGTGAGATAATTTATTTTATTTATTTATTCGGATAAAGTTGTTGCCTATTTAGCAGCTTGCATTGAACAATTCCTATTCTTAAGTCATGAAAATTTAGGTAAAAATTTGTGTTTGTATGAATCTTGTTGATGTTTGAGTATCAATGAATATTTCCAATGTTTGGACGTTTGCTGTTAGACGTTTCCTTGTTGAAAGAATAAAAGGTTGATGAAGAAATGTACTATGTCACCCAATTCAACGCACCATGGAAATTGACCATATTTGCGCAACAAACATTTGCACTTCTTGACATTTGCCTTCACCTTCTCATCGATATCCTGGCTCGAGTCATTGGACCAATTTGAACAAATGAACTGAAAATCTGGATCATCCACAATTTGCTCGCGCTGTGCGACTGTTGCAGAAAGACCTTTGCATCGTTTACATTTGCATTTCATTTTTCGCTCCTGCCACAACACTTGCTTCCGTTCCTTTTTAGAATCCGTCAAGAGCCGCAACAAGACCGTGTGTGTAAGCTGTTGTCCTTTCTTGATGGGTCGAACAGTAACGATGACCGTGTTTCCACCAGATGTAGTCACATGTACGTTTGGCTCACAAGCGTGTTTGATATATCCCGAAATCAGACCAGTCTGGCTGGTGGCCCATGTTACGTTATCATGGTCACCATTATCGTTTGGTTCATTTTGAACAAGAGCTTTTGAAATAACCGAATTAAGATCCACAATCTTATAATGATGACAGATCAGGTGCATGGTGCATCGACGATGCTTTTCGGATGTGAACATTGAGCTGATGTTTGGAATGCTTAGAAGCATTTTGTGAACTTGTAGTATGGTACGTAAATCACCTTTTGGGACGGCAGATTTTGAACCAACTGGCAGCTTGAGGAATGCTTCGTATTGCGATTTTGAATCCGATAAATTCGATGGGAGTTGGTTTCGATCGCCTGCAATGGCTTGTTCCACAAAGTTCGTCAGGTCATCAGCACCCTCAAAACTGTCGACGATCAACAGAAAACTTCGTACAATTCGCATTATATTTTTGTTTGTCAGATCACATTTGCATGCCTTCAAACCACACTCGAATTTGTGTAGCTGATGAGCTTGACATTCTTCGCTGCAGAACATTGCCACATTGCATATCATTAGCGATCCGTTTCAAGCAAATGTTACATGCCAAACCATGCCATGAGTAAATATATCCCATAAACATTTTTTCCTCTGCTACGATTTGACCAACGTCAATATCTTCTTTGGCAACGATCACTGGATCACCTTCATCGTCTACACTAATCTTCACCACGTTGGCCATACACGGAAATTGTTCATCCGGTTCAAAGCTCAGTTTTGACTCAAACTTCGTTGAAGAAGAATGTTGCCCACCTTCTGTCTTCAAACATTCCTCTTTGCGTTGGTCCAGTTTTGACATCAATTCTGCGGGATAGCCGACTTCTTTGGCCAGTCCGATATCAACGAGACATTGTTCGTATCGTTTCATCTTCAGAAAACAAGCCGATCGATTCGCATACGCCAAGCTTATGTTCTTTGACCCATTTTCAGCATAACATAGACTTTCGCCGTACATTTCTATTGCCCGAGTCCATTGGCCTTTTTTGAAATATTCATTTCCCCCATTTCGCTTTTGCAACGACAACGCATCACATTTGTCGAAGTTTGTATCCGTCTCTGCACATCCAACATGACAGGGAACACCACTGAAGTTTGCTTGTCTATCATTCAATGCAAAAATGTCCACGTACATCGCATCATTTTTGTTTGTTTCCTTTCTCCACAACATTCTGTAATTTCTGGAAGGTTTTGGCTGGAATATTTTAAAACGTAATTAGAATTTCGCGTAATTGATTTTTCTTGCTCCAAGTATAAAACTTATTTTGATATAAAATCTAACTCACATTAGCTTTAAAACTGGTAGAAAAAGTTGATTTCGGAATGGAGTCGGATGCGACTATGAATTGCGCACAAAAAACGAAAGTCAGTCTCAGATTCTGTTGACGTTGCAATTCTGGTAGCATCGAACGCATTCATGACGTTTTCAAACCCGTTTCAGTCGTCTCATGTGTGTATGCGCTGTTTGTTGATCGAGACGATAATCGAATTGATTTTCCCTGTATGTATGAGTGTGGGGCAATATTTCCGCGGAATACAATGAATGAAATAACAACCAGCGCCATCAAGTACATTCAAATTGCTCTTATTCTGGGAAATGTTTGAATTTCAATAGTTTTAATTAGTTTATGTTGAATTTTTCTTCAAATAAAAACAAAATCATCTTATTTTCCAAAGACTTTTTTGTTGATGTTTTGCAGCTTCTTAAGATGGCAACCCAATTGAAAATACACTTTTTAATAGAGATCAACAGCAATGTGACTTCCATTTTCGGTGGTCAATTTGTTCGTACTTAAAAACTCTCTACCTTATCCGGTGACAATCAATTTGATTTATGTTTGACAAAAATAAACATCTAATGAATAAGATACAAAGATTTTATTGTAATAATCAATGAAAATATATTTTGATGAGATTTTATGTGTTTTGTTTAGACATATTTTCGAAACATGGATAGACTTATTTGAATAGATCATTTTACTTGGTATTTTTGTGTTTCTTTTATTCCGACTTCTCATTGTATGGAATTAAAAGGTTAGCCAATGCATTTGAAGTACCATCTCTATGCTTACGATATACCATGTTATTGACGATCTACAAGCGTCATGTAAATGGTCACTACTCTTCCAAATTCATTGCACCATGCAGTTTGCCCGTACTGGCGCAAAAAACGTTCGCATTTGTCGATCATTGTTTGCATTGATTGCTTTGCATCATCATCACCTCGAGTCGGCGGAATGGATTGTTGTGTTATATACTGGTAATCTGGATCTGACTGAATTCGTTTGCATAGTACCTTCGACGCAGTGACACCTTCACATCGCGCGCATTTACACAACATTTTTCTATCCTGCCATAAGATCTGGTGTCGTTCGCGTTTGGATAGTGTTAGCAGGGGAACGATAACCGCATGCAGGATCTGTTGTCCTTTCATCACAGGTCGAACGGTGATGAGACCAAACTTGTGGCCAACGGTTCTGGAAACCATCACATTTGGAGCGCAGCTGTGTTTCTTGTAGCCTATCATCAACCCAGTCCGGCTTTCAAACGGTACATAATCATCATCCATGTCATCATGATTAGAGCCACAAATAAATGAGTTATTTTCCATCACCTGATACTGATGAGTTATGAAATGCATGAAAAATCGACGATACTTCTCGAGCTTGAACATGGAATTGACTCTCGGAATTCGCATGAGTAATTTTTGGGCCGAAAAAGCAATAGTTAAGTTTATCATAAACTCATGATGTTCTGTGCTCGCTGGTTTTATCGGTAGCTTCAAAAATGCTTCGTACTGTGATTTCTCGTCCAATAACGTCGATGGTATTTGGTTTCGATCGCTTGAAATGGCTTGCTCCACAAACGTCATCAGTTCATCAGCATCCGAAAACATATCGATGGCCAACAGGCAACCACGCACCACTCGCATGATGAAGCCATTCATCATAACACTATCACTATATCGCAGACCGCACTCGTACTTATGAAGTGAATTACCTTGGCATTCTTCGCTGCAAAACATTGCGACAGTGCACTTTTTGCATGGAACAAAGTTGCCATACTCCTTCAAGCAAATGTTACACTTCCATCCATGATGCGTGTACAAATAGGTCATAAATGCTTTTTCCACGACGATCGTTTGACCCACGTCAATATGCTCCTTGGCAAAGATACCCAAATCACCTTGAGCGTCTCGGTCAATTTTCAACACGTTTGCCATGCACGGAAAATTTTCATTCGGTTCAAAACTCAGCTTTGGTTCAAACATCACGGGTTGTGCACCTTCGTCGATGGCTTTCAAGCATTCCTCTTTGCGTTGATCCAATTGCGGTATTAAATTAGCTGGATAGCCAGCTTCTTTCGCCAATTCAATATCGATGAGACATTCATTGTATCGTTTCATTTTCAGAAAACAAGCCGATCGGTTCGCATACGCCAAATTGACATTCTTAGAGCCATGTTCAGCATAACATAGACTTTCACCGTACAATTCCATTGCCCGAGTCCATTTGCCTTGGCTGAAGTATTTGTCGCCCTCGTTACGCTTTTGCAATGACACCACACCATTTTTGTTGAATGTTGAGCTCGGTTTCCCCTGTCGAGCAAAACAATCCACTTTGTCAAAACTTGCGCGTCCACCATTTAATGCATACAAGTCCACATACATCGAGTCATTTCCATTCGATTCCTTTTTCCACAACATTGTGAGAATACCTTGAAGTTTCGGGCCAAAATATTTTCGATTTTCGAAATTAGAATTGCATGTTTCAAATAGAAATATACGTAGAAATGTTATATTTACAAATCAACTTACATTGGCTTTTTTTTTATTTGGAAGTAGGTTCAGTGTTGGAATTGGTTGTGATTTTAGTTTGACCTTAACAAAATGAGAGTCAGTATCGCATTCTGCTGATGTTGCTATTCTTCCAACAGCGAATGTATTCATGACACGTTCAATCTTGATACGATCATCTCCTTTGTGTGTGTGTGTGTTGCAGCAACATTTCTACATCAAGATGAAGAACGAATTTGCCTTTTCATTTGTATGCGTATGTTGAGTGTTTCGATTCAAGTACGACAATCAGCGCCACCGAAGAAATGACAAATGCTCTCAATCAGGGGAATTTTTGAATGTCAAATCTGTTCCGTTTGAATTTTATTCGGTTAAACTTTGTAATTGAACGTTTTTTATGTCTTAATGACTTTTCTGAAAATTTACTTACCAATTACAGTTTCGTTTATTTGAATTTTGCAATACTTAATGTCATTATAAAAATATAAACAACATATGATTTAATCTAATTTATTTATTCAATCATTTTCTTCATAAATTTGTGGTAATGTAGCTTATGATAAACGTTCATAGTGAGATTAATCGGTGATATATTGGATAGTTTCGATAATCAGGCCTCGGTTCGAAACTTGTTCATACGATTTCAAAATGGGTACATCATAATTAATTAAATCGAAGCTGTAGAAGCCAAATGTATATGGAGACAATGTCGTCAATTTCGTCACACCAAATCCCATGGCCATATTTTTGCAAAAATGCAATACATTTTTCGGCCAATCCGTGTAATTGAACATCATAAAGAGTTGCGCCCTTAAAAGAAGACACATTCGACAAAACGTGTCTAAAGTTCGGATCGAATTTCAATTGCGTTCGTTGTGCCAATGGCATATCGGGACCGATGCAACGTGAACACATGCATTTGATACGTCTATGATATAACATGATTTCTTGTCGCACTTCTTTTGGTTCCGACCAAAATCTGAAAAGAGATACTTGCAAAAGATCGCCTCTCTTGATTGGCCGAATTGCTGTATAAATGATTTGTCCATTGCAATCGACCGAAAAAACATTCGGAGCGCAAGAATGTCCAAAATATTTCATAATCAAACCAGTCTGGGTGCATATGACCATTCCATTTTGTTCAATAGCTTCTGGTGCCTGCTTATTGCGAGCCGAATTGTAATTTGAAATGTTTGCATGCTGGCCGATGAGATGCATTAAGAATCGGCGATGTTTCTTTGTTTCGAATGTTGCTTTAATCCTTGGAATTTCCAAAGACAATTTGTAGATGCGAGACACAAGGAAAGCAAAATATTCCTTTGAAATTGCTTCTGGGCCGATTGGAAGTTTTAAAAATGCACGATATTTTGATTTTTCATCCATCAATGTCGCTGGCAACTCCATTGGATCGCTTTTGATCGCTTCCTCCACGAAATCAATCAGTTCGTCCATATTTGCAAACATATTGATGACCATCAACAAAATTCGAATCTCTTTCATCGTGTTTCCATTCTCATTGTTGTCAATACTAAACTTTATGCCGCATTCATATTCATGAATTGAACTGTGCTAACACTCGTTACAACAGAACAATGCGGCCGTACACTTTTTGCACGGTAATAGATTCGCATTCCTCTTAAAGCAAATGCTACATTGCAATCCATATCGTATGTAGGAATAGACCAAGAATGCCTTCTCAACAGCAATTATTTGACCCACATCAATATCTTGTTCGGCAACAACTGAATAGTCGTTGGCATTTCGCTCTAATTTTAATACATTTGCAATGGATGGAAATTGCTCGTTTGGCTGGAAACTTAAGGCCGGCTCGAATATTCCAAATGGTTTCGCACCATCGCTGACACCTTTCAGACACTGTTCTTTGCGTCGATCTAATTTCGGTTCCAAATCCGCTGGATAGCCTGCTGCTTTCGCCAATTCGATGTCAGTGAGACATTCGTTGTACAATTCCATTTTCAAGAAACACGATGCACGATTCGCATATGCCAAGCTTATATTCGTTGATCCATTTTCAGCATAGCAGAGACTTTCATTATACATTTCCATTGCATCAGCCCACTTGCACTGGCCAAAGAGCTGGTTTCCTTCGACACGTTTCTGCACCGAAATCACGTCACTTTTTTCGGTTGTTTTGAACGCTGATCGCCTGGGTGCAGCATTCATGTATTCTTTTGCGTGCAACGCACAAAAATCCACATACAGTGAATCACTTTTATTCGATTCCTTTTTCCACAACATGATTTCCAACCTTTATTTCGAATGTTTCTTTCTGAAATTGAAATGGCTTAAGATTTAAATAGAGTTGATATCTCAATTGTCATTGGAATTTATTTAGTTTGTTACATTTATTAAATTTTCTCAAGAACATTTTAAAAAATCTCATACCAACTGAATTCGAACGATGACCAAACTTGTCTCCAAACAATTTTCTTATCCAAGATGTTTATTGCAATGGAACAAATTGGAAAAGCTTGCTGTACTTTGAAAATTACACAGAATGACTACGACTTCAATATAGCATTGACAATTCTACGACAACTGACTGAACTTCTTCGTTTAGTTGAAACATCGGCGTCTTTTTACTCACACAATCACAAATCTTTTCATACAATGCTGATTCGTACCGAAGTGTACGTAATAAACGAAGTCGCTCACATAAGTACATGTATGCTGAATATATTCGTTGAACATTTCTTTTCCTTTCTTCTTTGCTACTTTAATTCGTATTGAAGATGAAATTTGGTTTGAGAGCAGAGCATAAGAAAGTGATTTTTCCTCCTCGTATGGCTTACGTCATCGATGACTGCAAATATGGATTTGTTTATTGAAAGAAAAAAACACAAAACTACCACAAGTAAACATAATTGTCGATGAGAATAATCATCAAACGACACACATGTATAATATTTTAAAACGATCGATTTCGAAGAGAATTTTTAGGATTTCACACTTGAGCAAAGTCCACTATGTAGTATGCGTATCGAATTGACCTCTCGTTCTGAAGAGAAACAAGTCGATGCATAAAAAAAACCATTGCATGGATTTTGTCAAGACAATGAACTGTTTGGATTTTCATATCTGATCTTTGCATGTTTACTCACATTAAACACTTTAGCCATTTGAATTGGATGGGAATACAAACAAATAAACGATTAATCGATTCCAGAAGAGATAAATGACTTTTAGTAATGCCACATATTTGGCATGAATATCAGCATTGTGTTTGAATTGGAAAATGATTTTATTGTTTAGTTAATGAAATAAACTTAAGGCTAGACTTAATGAAATGGAAATGAAGAAAAGGGAATAAAAAATGGAATAATAACGATAGAGCTATCCTCCATCTGATTTAATCGGACCAAATTCTAATCGGTTGGTTTGTTGCCTGCTATTACTTTCTTGTTGAATGGTTGCAGTGGTTATTTTTCCAATTGTGAAACAAAGTTCATGCTATAGTGACCATGCAGTTGAACATATAGGATTCGAATGTAGGCCTGGACAACAATTCCAATCTCGTCACACCTTGTTACATCACCGTATCGTCTCAAGAAGTCGATACATCTTCTAGACATTTCCTGTACCGCTTCGACATTATCTAAGCTCATTAAGCGACTGCATACACCAATGTATTCCAAATCTGGGTCCAATTGCAATCGTATCTTCGGCGCATCTTTACTTTACTGAAACATGACAAAATCGCTTCATTTTTTAATATGTTATAATTTTGCGATAGTATATTGTATAAATACGCAAATCAAGTGCGGCAACCACCTACTTCACCCAAAATAACGGTACTTTTTCAAAATTGTATATATCTGGAAAAATCATTGAAAATGCAATAAAAATGAAATATTTTCAGTCCAATCGAAATGAAAAACACCCAAAAATTCTCTCTGGATCCATACATAGTGAGATTGTACTAAACCTGTACTAAAATTGTACTAAAATCGTATTAAATAGAAAAAAAATGAAATTTGAGGCTCTTTGCTTTAAGAAACGTAGAAAAGTGTGGATTTGATCGATCCTGTGTGCGCGCACGTGATTATATATGTGCTACACAAATGATTTGTCAAATGCCTGCAAAACATTGCGGCAGTGCAGTTATTGCATGGGAATAAATTGCCATACTCCTTCAAGCAAATGTTACATCTCCATCCATGTCGTGTGAACAAACAAGCCGTGAACGTATCCTCCACAACCACTGTTTGACCAACGTCGATGTCCTCTTTAGCAATGACCATCAATTTACCATTGTAACCTCGTTCGATTTTCAATACGTTTGTCATGCATGGGAATTGCGTATCAGCTTCGAAGCTCAACATTGGATTCGAATTCACAGACTTTCCACATTCTTCAATACGTTTCAAGCATTCCGCTTTGCGTCGATCCAACTTCGGCATCAAATCGGCTGGATAGCCGGCTTCTTTGGCCAGCTCAATATCGATGAGACATTCATTGTATCGCTTCATCTTCAGAAAACAGGCCGATCGATTCGCATACGCCAAACTGATATTCTTCGATCCGTTTGTAGCATGACAGAGACTTTCATTGTAAAATTCCATCGCTTCATTCCATTCAAGATCATCATAGCACTCGTTTCCCTTTTTGCGCTTTTGGAGTGAAATTTTGTCGTCCTTGGTGCTAGCGATGTTCATTTGATGCGGTCGCGTCGCTTCATATGTTTCTTCCAAACACTTCCAGCCTCTATTCAATGCAAACAAGTCAACATATACGTCTTCATTACGCTCCGATTCTATCTTCCAAAGCATGATGAAATATGCCCCTTTTTCGATCACTCTGATTGTCTGGAAAATTTTCAAGGAGGAAAATAATTCAATGTTTGCGTCTTTTTATTTATTAAAGAATATTCTAATTAAATATATATTTATAAATATAATTACAATATTCGAAATATTTCTGCAAATCCAAAAAAGGCAACTGTAAGCGATTCGGCTGCGAATGACAATGAAACTTTTCAAAATGTTGGCAAGAGTATTGCGAGTAAATTACGTATGTATTGAGTTGCAAATGATACCGCATTCGTGTTTGTATTGTATCGCGAAATTTTTACTGGTGTTGCAACATATCCTACAACGTTATACAACGGTTACACAGAGATGACAAACACTACCAAATAATTCGAATGTTCCCATTCCGTTGAACGGAATCCGTTCTGTCATATTGTTTGAAAAATTCTCTAAAAACATCACGATATTTGCGTCAACCAATTTGAACATAAAAATTTTCCTGAATTACTCAATTTTCTTCATTTTCCATTATATTTTCAACCAACAGTTTTTACTCACTTCTTGATGATCGAGCTGCTTGTCTTCTAAGACAGATTTATATACGATATAATAAAAGCAAACATTTTTGAACATTTTGTAAAGTCTTTATATCAAAATATGGCTTTATTTTATTTGTCACATAAAATTGTTTCTGGTTCAACAAAGTGCCTTATATAGCATATGTGCGTATTCTAAAATCATGAATAATTAAGAAAATGCAAATTTAATGTAGATACTGATACAGTCTGTATGGATTAATTTTGTATATAAGTATCAATGGAATAATTTGATCGTTTGAACGTCAGTTGTTAAGATTTTTGCTGTTGTTGAATGCAAATAAGGCGAATGAAGAGTTCTACTATCTCACCGAATTCTTCGCACCATGGAAATTGACCATATCTGCGCAACAAAGACTTGCATTTCTCGAATCTTGCCTGTATTGCCACATCAAATCCTTCGCTCGAATCATCAGACCAGTCAGAAGAAATGAACTGAAAATCTGGATCGGCTAGAATTATCTCACGCTGCACGGTTGATGCGATAAGACCTTTGCATCGGACGCATTTGCATTTCATTTTCCGTTCACGCCACAAAACTTGCTTTCGTTCCTTTTTGGATTGCGTTAGAAGCTGCAGGAGAAGCGCATTTGAAAGTTGTTGTCCTTTCTTGATGGGTCGAACAGTAACGATGACGGTGTTGCCATTTGATGTAGTCTCATGCACATTTGGCGCACAAGAGTTTTTCACATACCGAGAAACCATTCCGATCTGACTACTCGCCCATTTCACGCTGTCGTGGCCATTTCCATTACTTGTCTCTTCGTCTTGATCATCGGAACATAATTTCAAAGAATGAACTATCGAATTTAGATCCAAAATCTGATAGTGATGACTCATTAGATGCATCAAGAAGCGGCGATGCTTTTCGGCTGTGAACATGGAATGGATCTTTGGAATGCTGAATAGCAATTTGTGAGCTTCGAATATGATACATAAAACATCTTTCGGCAGGGAAGACTGTGAACCAATAGGTAGCTTCAGAAATGCTTCATACTGTGATTTCGCATCCGATAAATTCGATGGCATTTGGTTTCGATCACTTGAAATGGCTTGCTCCACAAATGTCATCAGCTCATCAGCACTCTCAAAACTGTCGACTATCAGCAGGAAACTTCTAACAACACGCATTATGTTGTTGTTTGTCAGATCACATTTGCATGCCTTCAAACCACACTCGAATTTGTGCAGCTGATGAGCTTGACATTCTTCGCTGCAGAACATCGCCACATTGCATTTCATGCAGGGCATAAGATTAGCGTTCGTTTTCAAGCAAATGTTACATGCCAAACCATGCCATGAGTAAATATATCCCATGAACATTTTTTCCACTGCTACGATTTGACCTACGTCAATGTCTTCTTTGGCGAAGATCGCTAGATCACCATCATCGTCTACATCAATTTCGAGCACGTTTGCCAAACATGGAAAATATTTGTCTGGTTCAAAGCTCAACTTCGATTCGAATTGCATAGACTTTTCACCTTCTCCAATACCCTTCAAACATTCCTCTTTGCGTCGCTCCAACTTGGGCATCAAATCCGCTGGATAGCCGGCTTGTTTGGCCATTTCGATATCGGTGAGACATTCTTCATATCGTTTCAACTTCAAAAAGCAAGTCGATCGATTTGCATACGCCAAACTGATGTTTTTCGAACCATTTTCAGCATAACAGAGACTTTCGCCATAAAATTCTATCGCATGCAACAATTTGCCTTGTTTGAAGTGTTCGTTTCCCTCATTCCGCTTTTGCAATGACACCGCATCGTTTTTATTGAAAGTGGTGTCCGTATCTTCACATCGAGCATGATGAGGAACAATACCCAATGATGCTAGTCCACCATTCAATGCAAAAATGTCCACATAGATTGGATCATTTCTGTTAGTCTCCTTTTTCCACAACATTCTGTAATTTCTCGAAGGTTCTGGCTGGAATATTTTAAAGTGTAATTAGATTTTTTTTCTGCTTGATTTTTCTTACTTCATTTGTAAAACTTTTGCTGATATAAAACCTAACTCACATTGGCGTGTAAAAAATGTCAAATTCGAAATGGAGTTTATTGCGACTGTAAAATACGCACAAAAAATGAAAGTCAGCTTTGGACTCTGTTGACGTTGCTATTCTTGTGAACAAGCGAATAAATACATGAAATATTTAAACCTCCTGATTCGCTCTTTTCATTTGTGTGCGTTGTTTATACATCGAGCTGAAGAATGATTTCGATCTTGACTTGTGCGAGTGTGTTAGTTAAATCAAAGTATTATTTTGGGTTGAATACAATGGCATGACAACCAGCGCCACCAAACGAAAAACACTCTCAATTTGGACTTTGAATGTGAATTCATTTGTGTTTGAACAATTTCAAATGAAAGAATGCATCTCAATCGCAATAATTTTTGTTTTTGTAATATTTTGCTCCCTCCGCACATGGGAGTTCAACTAAAAATGATGTTTTGATAAAAATAACAAACGACTCACGTTTTTGGTGGCAATTTTTTTTCTGATCTACTGTTTTCCCCTGATTTATTTATAAAGTAAAAATAAACAGCCCTTTTTTCTGGATACAAGAAATTTATTGTGATAAAGAAGAACAATTTAATTTATTCAAATTATTTTCGGTTTAGATTTTGTTTCCAAGACTTTCTATGTTAATGGAAGAGAATATTTTAGTTGTCATTTTGTTTCTTTTTGCATGAAATTGAACGGACAATCAATTATTCGGGGAGTATGTTTCTGTGCGTACATTTTTATTGGTGTCGTCGATTCGGCGTTCTATAGGCACAGACAAAACGTTGAGTAAACCACCACAACTTTTCAAAGTTGCACCATTTACATTGCCCGTACCGCCGCAAGAAACGTTTGCATTTGTTTTTCATTATTTGCGTTGCTTCATCATTGCGTCGAGTAATAATTGCAGATCATTTCTTTATCCTGCAATAATATCTGCTGTCGATCGTCTTTGTTCCGAGTTAGGGGCCCCACTTTTTTCGAATGGTGTATCTTATTAAAATGAATATACGAATTGAATTCGTAACCGAATTTGACGAACCGAAACAGCTGATATCAAAAATAATGGAATCAAATAATTCGATTCATTCGAAAAAGGAGTGTGAGTTAAAGATGTCAAAATCAAGTTTGATACTAAAGATTATATGTGTTGCGATCACGTTTCGTTTCAAAGGCTGTAGAAATAACTAAAAAATTGCAAGCAAAAGTAAAGTAATCAATAATGGCAAATTGGGTGATTTTTTCAACTGATGTTGATCATGTTCGAGAAGCGTCAGTAGCTAAATGTGAACGGACTGCTATCTGTTGTCCTTTTTTCACCGGTCGAGTAGTGATCAGATCAACCGTGTTGCCAGGAGTTTTGGATACCGTAACATTTGGTGCATTTGAGTGCTTCATATAGCCAATCATCAGGCCGGTTTGACTCACAAACGCTATACATTCACCATCATCCCGAATACATGATACTACTGAGTTTATTTCCATCACCTGATAATGATGGACTATTAAATGCATCAAAAACCGACGGTACTTCTGGCGCTGGAACATGGAATTGATTTTCGGAATTCTCATAAGCATTTTCTGTGCTGAAAATGCGATCGACAAAACTGATAGAAACTTTACGGGACATTGATTTGCCGGATTCATTGGAAGCTTCAAAAATGCTTCGTACTGTGATTTCTCGCCCAAAAACGTCGATGGTATTTGGTTTCGACCGCTTGAAATGACTTGTTCCACAAAGGTCATCAGCTCATCAACGCTCGCAAACATATCGATGGCCAATAGACAACTTCGCACGATCCGCATTGTTGTGCCGTTCATTAGATCATTGTTGCTGAATCGCAGACCGCACTCGTATTCATGTAGCGAATTACTTTGACATTCACCGCAGAACATCGCCACAGTACACTTGTTGCACGACAACAGGTTTGTGCACTCTTTGAGGCAAATGTTACATTTCCATCCAGGCCGCCAGTATAAATAGGTGATGAGCGTTTTCTCTGAGACGATTGTTTGACCTACGTCGATATCCTCTTTGGCAAAGAGCGCCACTTTACCTTTAGCATCTCGGCCAATTTTCAGAACGTTTGCCATGCACGGAAAATGTTCGTGAGGTTCAACGCTCAACTTCGATTTAAAATTCACGGGCTGTGCACCTTGTTTGATGGCTTTCAAGCATTCGTCTTTGCGTCGATCCAACTTCGGCATCAACTCCGCTGGATAGCCAGCTTCTTTGGCCAGCTCAATATCGATAAGACACTCATTGTACAATTTCAATTTGAGGAAACATGTCGATCGATTCGCATACGCCAAACTGATATTCTTCGATCCGATTGTAGCGTAGCAGAGACTTTCGCCGTACAATTCCATTGCCAAACTCCATTCGCCTCGTTTGAAATAATCATTTCCCTTGTTCCGCTTTTGCAGTGACACCGCATCATTTTTTTTCAATGTTGAGCTCGGATTTCCTTGTCGAACCACAGACACAATCTTGCCAAAATACGCTTTTCCTCCGTGCTTTGCAAAGATGTCTACATACATTGCATCATTTTTGCTCGTATCCTTTTTCCACAACATTGTGCTAAGACTGAAATTTTTTGATGTTTTAAAATTAGGATTTTATGTATTCGAAATATAAAAAAATCTTGTACCTATATTTGCTGCTGCAGAATCTGTGGACAGCTTTTGATTCTTATAATATTATTCGGTATGGATTGCGATTTTGGATTTATGCACTCAAAATGAATGTCAGCATCGACTTCTGATGATGTTGCTTTTTTTGCGAACCAGTGTGTGTATGCAAGACGTATTGTGTTGAAACTTGTTTCGATCATCTCATTTGTGCGTGTCTTTTATACATCGACACAAACAACGGATTTGCTTACACATATTTTGCATGAGTGTTAGTTGAATTGAAGCAATCTTCGCGCTGAATATGACAGCCAGCGCCATCAAAGAAATGAAAAAATCACAGCAATATATATTAGCATCCTGAAAATCTCAATATGTCAATTTTTTCAGTTTAAATTATGTTCGTTAAAATCTTTCCAATAAAATAAAAAAGCAATCTTACTTTTTAATGACATATAATATTTATGTATTGGTGTCTCTAAACGTTGAACCGTTCATGTTCGACTTTAAAGTGAAGAAACGTTTTAAGAAATTTCTTTACTTCGAGGAGATTTTAGGCTATGTTTCGTCGATCAGACCATTGTTGAAAATAATAGTCTACGTGCCTATAATTTTGACATGAGTGTTGACTTGGTATTGGATCTGAATCTGAAATGATTATTTCTAATGAATATTTGGAATGTCTTCTGAGCATTAATTATTTGTTCTGAAGAAGTTGGATCTATATTTTTCAAAGTAGCTCATGATATGAAATAAATGGTGAACAAGACAATTGAGTTTAATCCATTTTTATTGCATTCAAAGAAAAGCTGTTTCCACAGATTCGTCTTGTTTGAGCTGTACAATGTTCAGTATGGAAATTTTTTATTTTTTGTGACAACAATGAATATACGAATTGAACTCGTAACCGAATTTGACGAATCTGAAAGGCTGTAGAAAATTTAACAAGAATGATATAAAAAATAATGAAAATGTATGAATTCAAATAATTCGAAAAAAGAGTGTGGATGTTGAAAGACTTCAAAATTAAGTTTGATACTAAAAATTGTATCTATTGCGATCAGTTTTCGTTTCAACGGCTTTAGAAATAATAACAAGAAATTGCGAGCAAAAGTAAAGTAATCAATAATCCAGTCAATAATGACATATTGAATGATTTTTTTTCGACATGTTTGTTCTCTTGATTGTACTCTTGCCGATGGTTTATAAGCTCGAAGTAAACCTGCACTACCATTCCAAGCTCTTCACACCATGGTTTTAGTCCATATTTGCGCAAGAATCGTTTGCAATTGTCCATCATTTTTTGCTTTGCCTCATCATCGTTTCGAGCTGGCGCTATTAATTGTTTTACAATGTACTGAAAATTTGGATTTGAGCACATTTCTTTGCGCAGTTTGAATGGTGCAGTGTCACCTTCACATCGCGCGCATTTGCAAGTCATTCGACAGAAGTTCCACAAAATTCGATGTCGTTCATCTTTGGGAAATTTCACCAAATCTGTGTAAATCGAATGCATTATCTGTTGTCCTTTTTTCACCGGTCGAACAGTAATAATGACGATGTTTCCATGAAGGTCAGTCACCACAACATTTGGAGCACATGAGTGCTTCAAATAGCATTTCATCACTCCTGTCTGACTTGCCAATGCCACATATTCACCATTTCCTTCGTCCACGATCCATCCTGATTCTAATGAGTTCATTTTCATAGCTCGATAATGATGAGTTATGAGATGCATCAAAAATCGACGGTACTTCTTCAACTTGAACGTGGAGTTGATTTTTGGAATTTCCAAAAGGATTTTCTGGATTGTGAATGCGATTGCGGTTGATGCTATAACATCAATTAGATTTTGATCTGCTGGATTCATTGGTAGCTTCAAAAATGCTGCGTATTGTGATTTAACACCCGATAAAGTTGTTGGAATTTGATTTCGATCGCTTTTGATGGCTTGCTCCACAAAATTCATCAGATCTTCAACGCTCGAAAACATATCGATGGCCAATAGGCAACTTCGCACAGTTTGCATTATAACACTATTCGTTTGACTGTCATTGCTACATCGCAAACCACACTCGTATTCGTGTAGCGAATTACTTTGACATTCCCCGCAGAACATTGCCACAGTGCACTTTTTGCATGCCACCAGATTTGTTTGGTCTTTCAAGCAAATATTACATTTTGATCCATATTGTGTGTGCAAATATGTCATGAATGCCTTTTCCACAACGATCGTTTGGCCTACATCAATATCCTTCTTGGCAAAGATCCCCAAATTGCCTTCAGCATCTTGATCAATTTTCAACACGTTCGCCATACACGGAAAATGTTCATCTGATTCAAAGCTTAACTCCGAACCAAGCTTCATGGACGGTGCAACTTTTTTAATAGCTTCAAGGCATTCTTCTTTGCGTTGATCTAAGTTTGGCATCAAATCCGCTGGATAACCGGCTTTTTTTGCCAATTCGATATCGACAAGACATTCATTGTATAGTTTCATCTTCAGAAAACAAGCCGAACGATTCGCATACGCCAAACTGATGTTCTTCGATCCATTTTCAGCATAGCAGAGACTTTCGCTGTACATTTCCATTGCGTCCGTCCAATTGCCTTCACTGAAGTATTCATTTCCTTGTTTTCGCTTTTGCAATGAGACTGCATCATTTTTGTTCAATGTTGAGCTCGATTCGTCCCGTCGAACATAAGAATCAACTTCATTGAAATTTACTCGTCCACCATTCAATGCATACAAGTCCACATACATCGCATTATTTTTGCTCGTCTCCTTCTTCCACAACATTGTGCTATGGCCAAGAAAATTATTTTTTAAAATTATGATTGTATGAGTTTGAAAAATATATATATAAAATGTTGTACCTCTATTCGCTGCTTGCGGAGTCTATGGAAATCTTTTGATTTTTGGAATGTTATTTGGTATGGATTCGATTGCGATTTTAGATTCATGCACGCAAAATGAATGTCAGCATACAATTCTGATCTAAACAAGCAAGAACCAGTGTGTGTGTGTATGCAAGACGTATTGAAGCTTGTTTAGAACATCTCATCTGTGTGCGTGTCTCTTATACATGGACAAAAACAACGAATTGATTTCCACATAATTTGCATGAGTGTGTAGTTGAATTGAAGTATTCTTCGGATTGAATATGACAGCCAGTGCCACCAAAGAACTGAAAAAACACAGCATCACATTCACCAATATAATAAGCATTTCTGGAAATGTCAAAATGTCAATTCTTTTCAGTTTAAATTATGTTCGTTGAAATCTTTCAAGTGAAATAAAAGAAGCATCGCTTTTCATTGACTTTCTTTTATTGATTCACCACATACTCCTCACAATGAAGCCAGAATTCAAAGTATTTTCAAAATAATGTCCGATAAAGATTACCATTTTTAAAAAGCAAGCTGCCCTTTCACTCACATTCTCTCTTGGCCTATTACGAATTGAGTAAAAAGGCGAAATACTTTTTTTTCAGTAAAAGTCTTTTATTGAAATTGAAATTTTGTCTGATAAGATTTTGTATGTTCTTTTTAGAATTGTTCTCAAAAAAAAGAGACCCATTTCGAATGGTTTATTTTGTTTTCTCTTTGTTTATGTTTCTGTTTATGTTTGGATAATTCTTATTCATACATATGTATGCATTGCTGTAGAGAAATAGAGTTTAACTGGTTTCAAGGATTGTTTCTGAGCTCATTAGTCCCCGGTATTGAAGATATGTCAGTGTTACGTACACTTGCGCTATATTTCCAATTTCGTCGCTCCATTGAAGCTGACCGTACTTTCGTAAGAAAGTTTTGCATTTGTCAATCATTGTTTGCATTGCTTCATCATCGTCTGGATTTAACTGTTTTGATGTGAGGTACTGATAAACTGGATCCGAACGCATTCGCTTGCACTGTGCCAATGACGCAGTGACACCATCACATCGCACGCATTGGCAAATCATTCGTCTTTCCAGCCATAACATCTTGTGCCGTTGGTCTTTCGGTAGCGTCAGTAGCGCCAAGAGGAGTGAATTCATGATTTGTTGTCCCTTTCTCACAGGTCGTACTGTGATAATAACCGAATTGCCATGAAAAGTGGATACCAGAACATTAGGAGCACACGAGTGGCTCAAGTAGCCAACCATTACACCAGTCGTACTGCTGGCCCATGGAACGTTGGAATCTCTTGAAAAGCCCGAGCTAGCAATGTTTGAATGAACGTCCAAGACCAGATAGTGATGGCTTATTAGATGCATCAAAAATCTGCGGTACTTCTTAAGATTGAAGATTGTTTTCAATTTTGGAATGTCCAAAAGCATTTTGTGGGCTTCAAATACCACACAGAGAGCATCGTCTTCTAACGTAGTAAAATTCGATTTTAACGGTAGCTTCAAGAATGCTCCGTACTGTAATTTCACATCCGATAAAGTGGTGGGAATTTGATTTCGATCGCTTTTGATAGCTTGCTCCACAAAATTCATCAATTCATCAACGCTCGCAAACATATCGATGACCACCAAGCAACTTCGTACGACACGCATTATCAAACCATTTAATTCAAAAGCGTGGCCACCTGTTAGTCCATGTTCGGTATTCAGCCGATAAGTTTCGCAAAACTTTAGCCCACATTCGTAGTCGTGAAGGGAATTACCTCGGCATTCTTCGCTGCAGAACATTGCGACAGTGCACTTGCTGCATGAAACAAAATTGCCATACTCCTTCAAGCATACGTTACACTTCCATCCATACCGCGAGTACACATAGGCCATGAATGCTTTTTCCTTGATGATCGTTTGACCAACGTCAACATCCTCTTTAGCAAAGAGCCCCACTTTACCTTCAGCATCCCGACCAATCTTAACCACGTTTGCCATGCATGGAAAGTGTTCATCTGGCTCAAAACTTAGAATCGGTTCATACTTCATGATAGTGGCTTCAGCAGCACCTTCTTCAATGGCTTTCAAGCATTTCTCTTTGCGTCGATCCAACTTCGGCATCAAATCCGCTGGATAGCCGGCTTCTTTCGCCAGTTCGACGTCGATGAGACATTCATTGTATCGTTTCATCTTCAGAAAACAAGCCGATCGATTCGCATAGGCCAAACTGATGTTCTTCGATCCACTTTCTGCATAGCGTAGACTGGCATTGTACATTTCCATTGCATCATTCCAATAGCCGTTACCAAAATGTTCATTACCCTCCGTTCGTCGTTGCATCGATACCGCATCGTTTTTGTTCCATGTTGAATCTTTTGTTTCAATTCGAATGCCAGAAAGTGCTTCGTTTATAGTTGCACTTCCTCCGGAAATCGCAAACATATTCAAATATAGAGCATCTTCCTTTCTCGACTCTTTCTCCCACAACATCTTTGAATTTTAGGCTAAAATATTTTCGAAATTTATTAGAATTTTTATTGCATAGATTTACACAAATTAAAACCATTATCTTTTAGCAACAGTATAATCTGAGGCGAATAGTCTGTTGTAACAAGAAAACTTGCCTTAAAATAAATTGCGATTGAAAGTTATGGACACAAGACAAATATCACCGTCCGTTTTTACCAACGTTGTGAATAGCAATATACTGTTCTCGTGACAGTAGTGGACATTTTACCAAATTGTGCGTCGCAAGCCACTTACGGTACTTCGTAATGATGTGCGTTGTTGTAGTGTGCTGATTTTATAAGCAAACGTCAACGTTCAATCGAACATTTCATTTGTATTGGAGCATCACTTTGTATGTATATGCAGGCGCATCAACCGAACCCATGAGAAATGAACGGTTTTCAATGTTTCGAATTGTCTAGAACATTTTGAAATGTCATTGTCTATGACTCATTGACATATGCAACGAAAAAAAACTCGCTTGATGTGTCCAAAGACAGATTAGTGATAGGTCAAAAACCACTGACAAAACTATGAATAAAGGCAATTGAGTTTGAAAAAATGCAATCTAGATGAAATCTGTGTGCCTGCCTTAATTTCACTACATAAAAATCGAAGCTGTTCTTCTTGTTATTTCTCCTTCTTCTAACTTCTTTATGTTCAGTGAATGTTCAACTCGATAAGGAATGCGAAAGCAACGAAAATTTTCTAAATGAAATTCAAACAAATTGATTTTCAAGAAATGCTCATATATTGGTGCGAAGGATAAGTTCTCTTCGATTGACGTTTGAATCAACTTTCGAAACGTCTTGAATACAAAACATGAGGAGAATAACATATTGATTTTTTGTGCATGAATATAAAATTGTAACCAAATTCTTACCAAACATGCATGAGATTGAAAGTAGAGTATGTTTCACTGACTTTCTCTGACTTGGACTTTCTTCTGGAAGTGCTTTTCAAGCTTGAACTACCAATGTTTCTCCAAATTCAATTCCAATACAGACACAGATATGATTTTTACCTACATTCATTAGATATTCGTGACACCATCGAAAATCAAAATTGGAAATATAAACAAATACCAAACAGATTTTTAAATTTTGCTTTATTCTGAACAAACGTGTTTCTATCAAATTTTTGTGTCATCGCATCATTTTTCTATATATATTTCTAAATTATATTCTATTGAAAACCCAATTCTGTAGAGATTACTGAAGTATGGTTTGTAGAAAGAAATCGAATCGCTTAATCGATGTGAAGAATTGAACCAATTTTGATTAAACCTCTGTATTGAATATTTATCAGATAAATATAGGCTTGAACCACTTTGCCCAGTTCTTCGCACCACAAAATACGGCCATATTTTTGCAAAAATTGTTTGCACTTGTCGGCCATTGTCTTGCAGACAGTCTGATCATTCTGTAACGTTGTATCGAAGTAGGACACAATGTATTGAAAATCAGGATCCGATGTCAATTGCTTGCGTTGCGCTGTTGAAGCTGAAACACCGTTGCATAGTGAACATGTGCAAATTATTCGTTTTCGATCCCACAATGCCTTCTGTCGTTTTTTCGTGGGCTCCGTCATCAGCATAAGGTGTGAATACATCAGTTGATCGCCTTTTTTGATTGGCCGAACCGTTGTGATCACAGTATTACCGTGGAATGTTGACACAAATAGATTTGGGGCACAGGAGTGCCTGAAGAACCTGGTGATCAACCCAACCTGAGTGGAGATAAATATTGGGTCGCTTTGTGTGACCATTGGATTATTACTCACATGACCTAACGCTCCTGTTGAATTATGTTCAAGGATATAATAATGATGGCCGATGAGATGCATCAAAAAGCGACGGCTCTTCTCGGAACTGAACATGGCTTTGACATGTGGAATATTGAGTAACATTCTGTAGACCTCGAATACGATGCACGAAATATTTTGTGGGATTGTAGAATCTGGACCGAGTGGTAAATTCATGAATATTTTGTATTGCGATTTGGCATCTGATAAAACGGTTGGAGTTTGATAGGGATCACTTTTCAAACTATGTTCCACGAAGTTAATCAGTTCATCAATGGTGGAAAACATATCGATGGCCATTAAGCAACTTCGCACCACACGCATTATTGAACCATTCATTTGACTGTCGTTGCACTCTCTGAGACCACACTCGTACTTATGAAGCGAATTACCTTGGCATTCTTTGCTGCAGAACATCGCCGAAGTGCATTTCTCACAAGGCATCAGATTGACATGCTCTTTTAAGCAAACGTTACATTTCCAACCATATAGCATGAACACGTAGGCTATGAATGCTTTTTCCAAAATGACGGTTTGGCCCACGTCGATGTCTTCTTTAGCGATCACCGTGAATTCACCACCATCATCTCGGTTGATTTTCAACACGTTCGCCATGCACGGAAAGTGTTCATCCGGTTTAAAGTCAAGCTTCGGTTCAAACTTCACGGGCGCTCCACCTTCTGCCATACCTTTCAAGCAATCCTCTTTGCGTCGATCCAATTTCGGCATCAAATCCACTGGATAGCCGGCTTCTTTGGCCAGTTCGACGTCGATAAGACATTCATTGTATCGTTTCATCTTCAGAAAACAGGCCGATCGATTCGCATACGCCAAACTGATGTTCTTCGATCCATTTTCTGCATAGCGTAGACTGGCATTGTACATTTCCATTGCGTCATTCCAATTATCGCGACCGAACTGTTCGTTTCCCTCCTTTCGATTTTGCAACGATGTTGAATCATTTTTATTGAGCGTTGAACCTTCCGGCGATCGCAACGGACGGAAAACTTCATTCAAAAGTTTATGTCCCCCATTCAATTCAAATACGTCGACATACAATCCGCCTTTTTTCTTTGTTTCCTTTTGCCACAGCATCTTGCAGTTTTATTTCAAACTTTTGTCCTAGAATAGAATTTTTGACAATAATTAATTTTTTCCCTTCCCTTCATTTACTTGTTATTTAATAATGGTTATAAAATGAGAATTATGGAAATTAGCTTACTGGGATGTCTTCAGAATCAAAGTGTCATATAACGTGTGAAAGTCATAGAATTGTATTCCAGTCTGTTGAGATTGAAGTTTCTACTTACACTGTCTACTGCCACTCATGTGCTTACGTTATTATACACAAAACGTTCAATTTGATCGTTACTTATACGCATAGAATGTGTATTGAAGGGGCATGATTATATTCCGCTCGATTGTGTTAGTGTGTCATTTCGGTTTGTGCACCAGGCACATAAGGACAGCACAGAATACTTTCGTAATGTATTTGTATGCATGCAAAGTCAACGTTTTTTTTTTGAAATCAAATCGTTAGAAGTCTCTTGTTTTTAGTGAACACTTAGATCGCCCCTCATCGATTGGAGAATGAACCGAAAACAAATAAATCTAAGTTTATTTATCTAAAATGTTGAAATGAGGATTATTTTCGTATTGAACTTGAAAATTTGAGAATCAAACAAAGAGAGTGATTGTGATTGATGCGTTCGAAAATTGTTTCAAGACATTTTATTACGAACTTTGAAGTTGAAAAACAACCTAAAATATAAGCCATGAACTGTAGAGATTTGATACTCATGGCGCCCCCTACCCCCGTAGTCTCGC